GTGTTTGCGGCCCCCTCTCCTCCCTCGGGCTTTCCTGCCCTGGCCTCGGCTCGGAGGGTCTTCCCTACGCGGCTGCGAGGCGTGTCTCACTTTCGCAAGGCATTCGCCTATCTATTCGGCTGGGTCTTAACCCAATTAAAGTCCCAGATTGCAAGAGAGCGAGACGTGGGAAGGATAATTGCAGAGGCAGGGCTGAGCAGAGGACAGGAGAGGACAAAAAAAAAAAGAGAGTTAGGTATCCACTGTGCAATGCCCGCCTCTTACTCAGCATTTTCCGTCGGTAGATTATAAAGCAGGTCCATATGTATTTTCATTTTACAAAGAGGGGGGATTGAGGCCAAAGAGATTTGCTCAAAATCAAGTAAAATACAGTGGTGGAACTGGTCTCTTGAGTACTAGTTCAATGCTCTGTTCCCTTGGCCAGTCAGTCTCCCTGAGGCTCGCTGGCAGTTTGAGCGATACAGATAAAAAATGAAGTCTGGCCACCAGATAAGATCACCCTTTGACACAGTGTGCAGAGAGGGGAGTTAGGGATACAGCCCTGAGAGATGGAAGTGGAGGTCAGGCAGGAAAAATAAGAACAACAAATGGAGAGAGAGGCCGGCCGTGAGCAATCAATGAGAGAGACTGGAACTGTGAAAAGTGCCAGAAGCCCAAGGGGAAGGAAGAGTGGTGGATAACTGTGTCAAGGGTAACAAAGGTCAAAGCAGAATAAAAACATAGGACATGGCAGAAAGAAGAGACTAAAAGCCAGGTGGCACTGAATCAATTACGGTGTTGGAAGCAGGGAAGTGATATCTAAGATGAGAAATGACTGCATAATTTTGAAGGCAAAAAGGAAAAAGTGATAGAGGGTTAACTGTACAAGAGGTATGAAACTATGGTAGTGATTTTCAAACTTCAAGACGTCGCACTGTTTCCAAAACTCAAAAGCATATGGCATATCACCTACAAAATTTTAATCGGTATATTTAAAATAGAGGCTTATTTTGCTGACATAACTCAAATTTATCTGATTGTGACCCAGAACCCACAATCAGAAAATAAGTTTATTTAATGAGTGTCATTACGTAGGCTGTTTGTAGCAAGTCATGGGGAAAAGGAATCTTATAAAAGGATTAGGGACACGGTGAGCGAAATTCAAATGTTACGGCAAATGGATTGGATGAAACAGACTGACTCACTAGAAATACATTCGGACATTTTGAAGGTGGGGAGAATAGAAAAGGAGATGGTAGAAAAATGTATGCTCATGGGGCAAAGGATAGGACAGAATTCCTGTGAGAACAAATCCTTTTAAATATTTGGAAGGATCTTGGATTGATTGATTGAAAGGAAAGAGGGCTTGATGATGGACTCAAGGGGAAAAAACATCATAGAAAAAAATTATACTCCGTGGGAGCGGGGAATAAAATGATTAGAGGACAGCAGAAATAAATGGAGAAATAACATCTTCTGATCACTCACTACATGTAGGCTTTACAATTACAGTTTTTAAAACCAAACACACACAGTGTTGTCTTATAGTCTACATATTTTCCTTTTTACTTCAGTTCTTATTTAACAAACTGGAGAAAGTGGGGGTGCAAAACAGCTTCTGGGGTCTTTGATACCTTTCAAAGTGTCCCTCTGACCAGCAAAAGGAACAGGTGGCTAGGCATCTTTAATGGGCTCTGGTGCAGAATTTGCAACTGTAGACTAATTGCCAGGAGTAAAGATGACTTACAAGCACATGCTCAGTTCAGGCAAACTGTCATTTGCCACAGATCCTAAGAGGTGAAATTTGACAACCATGTTAGATAAGGGCAGGAAGACCACATACAGTGGCCATCATAGTTAAGGGCAGAAAGTCTCTATAAGTGTTATATATGACAGCCATCATTGTTTAGGGCAAAGACAATTGTCAGTAGCCATTTTGCATAAGGGAATGAAGGGCAAATCACCTTTACCCTTCTAGGGAGATGACGTGTGCCAGACTTGTGGAATGCAGCATCTTTGAGTCATGTGCATACCTGCCTAACGTTAGGACTTTGGCCTGAATGTTTGGAATGTTTCTTAGGTCCTACAGGGTGCTCAACATTTAAAGAACTTTTATTGCAGGGACACAGTCATAAATTCGAACTTAACTAGGATCATTTGGGGAAAAAATTGGAACAGCACTGTGGACTAGGTGATCAAAAAAATCAAAATAAATAACAGGATATATCAAGTATAGAAATTATCACTTGGCACTTTGTATATATGGCAGAGGAATGATACTTACCCTGTCCTTTTCAAGTTAGTACATGGAAATGTGCTGTCAGCTATATCCTGCCTAGATGTGAGTGGGCATCTTGAGTGGGAATTCCAGGAAAAAATTTCACTATAGAAAAGTTCTGGAGTCTCTGGTATAAGGAACAGGATGGGAAATGATATTGGAAAATATTATGTTGCTGTTAGATGAGCCAGTAGCACACAGAATAATGTGTTCATTTTTTGTCATTCTATATCAAATAAAATAGAGCAGGACTGTGACTATAGGGAACAGAGACATTCCAGAGAGACTATTTCCAGGAAATTAAACAAAGGCAATTGAGAGACTTCCAAATGACAAGAGACTGGAGAGATTGAAGAGACTGGGATTCATGTTGCCTCTAAGTCTAAAAGGCCCCAGTAAAACACACCTTCACTTGTGTCAGTAGGGCCTGCCTGCTGTACCTGGGAAACTGCATCCCTTCTAGCATTCTGCTTTCCAAACAATTAAAACAACCATGGGCAGATATATAATTTGAAAAGGGGGTGCTGATGGTGAGGTGCATCATCCCACATATTTTTCTCTAGTTAAAAATAAATTAGCAGCTTTACTAATATGTCGAATAACTTGTAATAACTGTATTATTCAGTTTAAGATTCAAGAAAAATATAAGTAACTTATATTCAAATATAAGTTGGAGTGAGTTAAAAACTATCTCAGAGCTGTGAAACAGGAGCGTTATTACAGGAGCAGCAACTAACAGATGGTAGAATTGCAGAACAAACAATAACCTGATGAGTGGAATATCCAGACCTTTGTATCGGCACCAATGTAAAGAAAGTTGATTGTGTCAGAAACTGGCCTGATGTGGCCGATAATTTGGCCAATAAATTAATAGATTAATAGACCATAAGGCTGAAAGGGACCTCAGAAGTTCATTGGGTCCAGCCCTCTGCACCAAGCAGGGAAGACAGTTGGGATCAGGTGACCTCAGCAATGTGCCTGTCCGGTCTCCTTTTGAAGGCCTCCAGTGTAGGCGATTGCACCACCTCTGGAGAGAGCTTGTTCCACAGTCTGGACACCCTAGTCTGAAGTAGTTTTTCTTAATGTTGAGCCTGAAATAGTCTTCCAGGAGTTTGTGACCATTACTTGTAGTTTTCCCCAAAGGTGCCCTGGTGAACAGTTCACCGAGCCCTTGATATATGCCTCTGATGTAACTGTAAGCTGCTACCAAGTCCCCTCTCAGCCTTCTTTTTTTCAGACTGAAGAGTTCCAGATCCCTCAGCCTTTCCTCATATGGCTTGCCGTGCAAGTCTCTCATCATATGGGTGGCCCTTCTCTGGACTCACTCAAGCTTTAGCATGTCCTTGTTAAAGTGTGGTGCCCAGAACTGGACGCAGTACTCTAGCTGTGGTCTCACCAGTGCCGAGTAGACTGGGAAAATCACTTCTTTGGTTGTGCTGGAGGTATATAATGTCAACCTACATGCCACAACGCAGCAGCATGAAGGGGAGGGGGGAGGGAAGGGAAGGGGTGTGGTGGGGGGCAGAGCAACACCCTCCCAGGGTGAGGGAGGGAGGGAGTGGGCAACACCTGCCCCTGCTCCATTGGGGCAGGGCACGGGATGGAGCCATGGCTCGTCTGTGGGGCATGGAGGAAGGAGGGGCTTTTCCCACTGTGTGCACCCCGGGAGGGTATGGGGGGCATGTGCCCCTGGATCTGCACAGGGTGCAGGCAAGTTGGGCTGCAGTTGTGGGCCAGAGCTGCTCCAGGCTCTTCCCAGCACATGGGGGCTTTGCTCAGGACTGTGCTCCTGGCACGTGCGGGCTGTGCTCAAGGCTACACTCGGGGCAGGAGGCAGTGGTACTGGGAGGGAAACTATGGCGAAATTTGGGGTGGCTGTAGCCCCCACCCCCATACCTCCCTCCCAGCACTGCCACCACCCTCCCTAAGCGCAGCCCCAGCCCAATCCCACCCCCCACAAAGAGTCCAGTGCAGTCCCAGCCCGCAGCTGCAGCCCTCCCTCCCCCATGTGGATCGAGGGGCACACACCCCTACCCCCAGCCCCATAACCTTCCGGGTTACACACAGTGGCAGGAGCCACCCCACCTCCCCACGCCCCCTGGACGAACCATGGCTCCATCCCCACCCCAGCTGGGCAGTGCCAGCCCCTGCCACAGCCTCACTCCCTCTCTCACCACAGGAGCTTTGATCTGCACCCCCACATCCCTTCCCTCCCTGTCCACCACAGCAGACTTACCAGCTGCACTCAGCTGTATCGGAAATCGGATCAGTATCAGCCAATATGCCTCCTTAAAAATTAGCTGTCTGTATTGGCTCTCAAATCTCTATCAGTGCACCCCTAATTAAAAAAAAAGAGAGGTTGTTAACACCTGTGGAATGACGAGTTTAGATGGAATCAGGTAGATTATAATGACCCAGGAAGTGAAATGACTCCTTCAGCAGTGCCTGACTAGAAATGTTGCTGTTACTGCCACATAGTTGGTTTTAAACTTCTGCTCTACCCCTGAAAACAGCTATATTTTGAAAGGAAAGCTAGTGGTAGAGTGTTTTCCCAAAGGAATCTCACTTCTGGAACTCACTACTCACCCTGATGTATCAGGTCTAGATTTTTGTAATCATCCAGATATGCTCCAAATCTCATCTATTGGACATATTTGAGGAGAAGTTATATTGAAAAAAATGATGCTAGGCAAATAGTGTCTATTTTGTAGGGTGATTTGGAAGTTCATAGCAGAATTCAGTTGTAATGAGATGTACATCCCAGTCCAATACCTCAAAAGTTACCTGTTGAGACATGTGGAGCCAAACTCTATTTAGCAGAACTGTAAAACCTGAAGGGATTATTTCTGGGGAGCAGGTACATTTTACTGTGCACTGTAAAGCAGCTAATCCTCACATTCAGCTGCAAAAATATTCTTGCTTCACAGCAATCTCCTGTTACCCACTAGAGTGTTGGAGGGAAGAAATGCTGTGCGTAATCCAGAGTACCTATTACCTAATAGGTTTGAAAATCTACTATGTTATATTGTAAGAAGCACCCTTTGTTTTTTTGCTGCTGCGATGCAGAGGTTGGAAAAGCATTTTTTCATTAGTTGGCAGAAAACGCTTTAATAAAATCAGTAAATCAAGGAAGATGGGATGCGACAGTGTGGTCACCCTCTGTCAAAATGATTATGTTGCAATGCTTGGTAAACAAGTCATTATTTTGTGAATGCATCTTAATGTAACCTCTGGACCATAAATGATCAAAATGATGTAGTAGCAGAGCATATTGATTCAAAATTGTATGACAATCTAGCCTGAATTTCCACAGGTTTGATTTTTTTTTTCTTTTTCCCTGGGAGCTGGAAAGTACAATAGTCTGCAAATATGCCCTCTAGCAGCCTGGCACTGTCTTTGCTGATGTATCACTGGAAATAAATGATGAAAGAACATGTCTGCAGAATGCTAATAATTTTGGGATTGCAGTGACAGGTAAGCATTTGCTAATGAGCTATTTGCTGTTTTCCTGACTGATGCTGATACAGGGCCAGAAGTGCCAGAAAAGTAAAGATTTGGGAAGGCAAGAAGCCAGTTATAAATGCAGAACAGCTAAGTGCTGGTCTGTATAAGGAAGTTTTACCAGTGTGCTTGTCTACAACTTGACCCATAGGAGTTACCATCCTTGACTGTGAGGTATCGCTGATGATGACTATAAAGTTATTTCACCAGCCACTAGCTGATGGAACCAGTCTATAAAAACACAGGCTCATACAACTACAAGGGACTTCCTGCATCAGAAGACCAATCTCCTGCTATCATTTTCAGCCAATTCATGTAATCCCGTTCATAAATTGAAGGAGCGTCATCTTAAAACTATAAATGGTTGGGTAGAGATGGAGGGGAAAACATTTTTCAAGCTCCTTTCAGAATCTCACTCTTCTGGGGACTACAAATCTTCAAATCACCAGCCTAAATGTATTCCTGTCTGGTTTATATCCATTTATAATGTGCTATCATTGTTTAGCTTAAATAATTCTTTTCCCTCCCTTGTGTTTGCCCTTCTAATGTATTTATAGAGAGCAATTACAGCCCCTATTAGCAATTGTTTTGCAAGGTTAAAACAATTACGAACCTGATAATTTCCTTTTGAATTCATCCATTTCTCATCTCCCAGACTCTGATTTTGGGTAGCCCATGTTGCATTTTTTTCTGTTTTCTATTTACCATCCTGCATTTATTCTTTTAGAATGTGTTCTAAAGCCTTACATTTTATTGAGGGTGGATTAAGAAGCTTGTAATTGTCTAGATCAGAGGTTCCCAAACTCTTTCTTATTGCATACCTGCTTGCAGATTTACCAGCTACCACCTACCCTTACCATCATACGTTTTATGTTTCAACCCCTTAAATGCCTATTATTATTATTATAATAAAAATTATATCTGCCCTTACACAATTTCTCCCACATATGCCCCAGAGATGTCTTGTGTACCCCCAGGGGTACGTGTACCACAGCTTGGGAACCCCTGGTCTAGATAATTTTTTTCCCCTTCTTAGATATGGATATTACCTTCCACTGTTCTCTAGTTGTACAGTCTTACCCATGACTCAATATTTTTTTTTAATCCTTGATAACAGACCTGTGATTTCATATGCCAGGGTTTTGTTTGTTTTTCAGTTTTCTGGGATGGAAAATTACCCAGACCTGTAGCTTGAGTACACTAAGCTTTTTTTAAGTTTGCCTCCATCCCATTCCATATGTAATCACTTTCATTCTTATTTTCTTGTTCCCATTAGCCGTCCTGCCTTTGCCCTCCTGCTCAACAGAGTTGTCTTTATTGAAATATTAATTTAATGTTGGGGTTGTACCTAGGTCACTTTCATCTCTACACCATCCTCACTGCTTAGCAGCCCCAGTTCTTTTTTGTTCTCTTATTTGTGTTGTTGATGGCCCTTTTGCTATTTTTAATCTTTTTTACAAAGTAAAAAGCATGCCTAAAGGGAATGCGTACTTAATCCCTACAATTCCTGGCCTCTGAGATGTACCTTTCCTTGTTGATCAATCCTTTTTTTCTCCTGAAGACACCTGAAGATATCTTGGAACTGCATCCACAAAACAGATGGCAATAATTTAATTGTATCAGTTTCTAAATCAATATGCAATAATTAAATCCATGCAAAAAATTTTATAGATAAGGATAAGATACCCCTAGGTACTGGGGAGAAACTTTGTCCCATTCTGCTTTGGCCAACAGAGGTTATTTGAGCACATGGGGGAATGCCAAACTGTTCTAAGCCTAAGGAATAATGCCATACATATGCTCTCAGTGGGCACTGAGGAAATCCTACACACAGTACCTCACTGTATTTCTGTTGGCATAACTTTGTGTATAACGTGTACAATCCTAAGTAGGTATTTTGTTAAATGTGTGATGTGCTGGTTGAAAAAATATAACTTATTTTCTGTGCACAATTAAATGCTTGAAATGTTCTTGTCAGCCATTTAGATAGTTGAGGAGTGTGAGGAAGTCCTGTAAAAATAGAGAGGTTTTGCTATTTAATCAATGTCATTTTTTAATTGTGATCAGTTCTAATTTTAGATATAGATAAAATGCTGTTTTAAATCAAAATCCCAATAAATATGTAATGTAACGATTTATTCTTAAAATATTTCTATCCTTAAGTAAAAAAATGACATATAATTATCATAAATTGGCAAATACTGGTATTTGATATATGCAGGACTGGCCTGACACTCATGTTAGGAATGGGATAAGGAAAGAAGCGTGTCAGTATTTAGCATTGTATGGCAGATGGGAGCAGTCAGCATCTTCACTTCCCACTCAAGCTAAAGCAAAAGGGCATATGGTATGCTAGCAGGAAACTGGGAAATAGCTCAGGTGTTGCTAAAAGGAGAGCTGCATGCAAATAGGCAGATAGCAACACTAGGAAAAAAGTAGGTAGAGCAGGAGGTGTAAGAGAGAGGCACACAGGCTGGAATTCACCATTAGGACTATTCCTGAGTTCACTGGCTGCCTCTATACATGCTCCTTGGCTTTCTAATTAGAACACGGTGGAGCAGACTTGATTAATGGAGTCTGCTCTACGTTCTAATTAGAGCTCTGTTGCGTCACTGCAGTATCGTGTGTATTAAGTCCCACACATTTTAAAATGGCCACAGGGTACTTTAACTAAACCTCATTGACTGAGCTTTAGATAAAGGGTCCAGTGGCCATTTTTAAACACATGGGGGCTTAATGCATGTGACACTGCAGCATTTTAATTAAAGTGGCTGCCCAGGAGCTGCTCTAATTAAAACACCCCCCTCTCCCACCCTGGAGCACATGTATAGACATGTTTCTACTGCAACAACTAATGTAATGCTTTCCCTAATAGTCCCTATAGCCCTGGTCCTGCCATCTATACATATGAGCAGGGCAAATTGGGATATCTGCCCGGGGCCCTGCGGAGCTGGGCGGAGCAGCTGTGGCCACTCTGTGCTGCCACCAGCTTCACGTCCAGCTGCTCGGCACCCTCCTCTGCCCCCCCGCCACCATATCTGCTGCTAAATCCGCTGCCTCTGGCTGCTCAGCACCCTCCACCAAATCTACCGCCAGCTTCCTCGTGCCTGGGGGTGGGGCTCTGCACAGGCTGATTTGCCCCAGGCCCCGCAACCTGCTTGGGTTGCCTCTGCATATGGGCAATCGTATGGCTGGTGTCATTGTTCTAAAGCCTCAATGAAATAAAGTGGACAGACTTTTTCTTATGCAAAGTCCTATGATTTGCTAGAAATCACCCTCAGTTTGTAGCGCAAAAATCATATTATAATAAGTTCTTAGCTTTGGAATTTGCCTACCCTGTCAGTCCATCAGGCGCTTCCTCAGGTTTTCATTCACCTAGCACACAGGCCTCATCTCTGTCATCTTGTTTATCTTGCCTTGCCTTCCTCTCAGTCTTCCCAGACAACGTGCTACTGGTGGTGTAAGAACTTTCTCTTCTCTAGCTCTTGCCAACCGGAACAGCCTTTCTGTACCTTATCAGTTCTCCATTTCAACTCAAGATCTACTGTAAAAATATCTCCCTCTCTTTTGTCCTGTTCTCTTCATTTCTTTCTTCCTACTCTTTATTACTTAACAGCGGAAAGGATTTCAGGATATTGTTCTTATGAAAGAGGCTTTATTTTGCTTAGGTTTAATGCTACAGTTGAATTTGTATGGCTAGAAGCAGATGTCTTCAGTGGGCAATTGGCTCTGCCACAACATGTTACAGCACAGCTGATTACGCTCCAAGGACATATATAGATTAGGGCTGTGTGAAGCTTCGGGTTCTGATTCGATTCGGAGGAGATTTGGCCTGATTCGGTGGCTGAATCTCTCAAGTCCGAATTGAATCAGGGGACCAATTAAAAGGTCTGAGTCGATTTGAAGCTCTTCCAATTGATTTGGAGAGCTTTGGCAATTCGAGCAGTCCTGCTGCAGCAGGGAGCTGGACCTGGACTCTGAGCTGGTAAGTAGGGGGCAGGGGAGCAGGGGCTGGAGGAAGGGGAAGGAAAACAAGCCCACACTCACCAGGTACTGCCAGGTAGGTGGGTGATCCCCACTGCCCCATGCTGTGTGGGGGGTTCTGCCATGAGCCCCCTGACCCCTGGCTGTTCTCCCAGCCCCTCCCCTCCATGGCTGCCCCGTCCACCCCAGCTCTGGCCCTTTAAGAAAAAACAAACAAAAAAAACCCCCAACCACACTGGCTCCTGCAGCGGCCTCAGGGTTTCTGGGGGTTCGTGGAAGAGCCCTCCATGCAGCATGGGGCAGTGGAGGACAGCAGGGATCGCCCCTCCCTGCCAGGCAGGAGCCGGTGAGGTTGTTTTTTTGTTGTTTTTTGTTTGTTTGTTTGTTTTTTTAAAGGGCCGGGAGCTGAGGCGAGCAGGGCAGCCATGGGGGGCTGGGAGAGCAGGTGGGGGTCGGGGGGCTCATGGCAGAGCCCCCCCACATGGAGTGGGGCAGCAGGGATCGCCCCCCCCCCCCACCCCCTGCCTGGCAGCAGCCAGGGCTTTTTTTCCCCAAAGAGCCGGGAGCTGGGGTGGGCAGGGCAGCCATTGAGAGCGGGCGGGGGATGTGGCCTGTGTGATTCGGAGCTTCACTTGATTCGGCAGCAGCTGAATCTCCAAATCAGATGCAGCCAGATTGATTTGGGACAGTGATACGAATCACCGAATCGAATCACTGTCCCCTGAATCGGCCGAATCCAAAGCGAATACTAGCCACTTTGCACAGACCAAATATAGATGTCCCAGTTGCTGTGCCCTGACTTGAGGCATGTCGGCAGTGGAGGGAAAACTCCCCACTTGTAGATGAGCCCCCTCTGTTGGGGACCAGGAGAATCTCCTGCAGTGGATTTCCCTGCATTTCTCTGCAAGCCTGGGTTGGGGGGACACACAGACAGGGTTCCCCCCATCAATCTCTCTGCAAAGGATTTCCCCTGACCGTGTCTGCAAATGCAAAGGGAGGGGGAACCCGCGCTCTCCACTCCACGCTTGCAGGCGCACCCAGAGAAATCCCCTGAGAAGGAGTCCCCTGTGTGCAGCATGGACTGAGTGTCTGCAAGCAGAGAACCCCCCATGCACCCCCAAAGCCCTGAGGTGCAGGCACTCCCCAGACGTGAGGGGTCCGATCCTGCCCAGGAATTCTTGAGGTTTGCAGGACTGGGCCCCTGAATCCCAAAGATCCCTTGCCTCAGGGAGGCTGAAGAGCCATGAATAAAAGTGTGAGCAAACGCGTAAGCAAATGTACATGGGCTGCAATAAAAAGGCCTAGTTTGTTATTGTGTTCTGTTGTGGCCACAAATTTAAGCATTAATGGCATGACAGAAGGTATGAACATCTACTTGCTTTCGCTCTGTGCCTACATAAAAATTCTTATGGTGGCACAAAGGTGACATCTGCTTCCCCACTATGGGTCGACCTTCCACTTGCGTGAAGTCAGCTGCAAAATAGGAACCTGAGTTGTAGAAAACAGAAAAGCACGCTCTGCTGTAAAAGATACCTAAACTGAATGCTAACAGTAGAGTGCCTGTTATAGGTGAAACATGAGTTAGGCTTATGTTTACAAGCCTAACTAGGGGATCTGATTAGTATCTTTCAAAAAATAAATGTCACGTTGTCAGGAAAAAAATAGCTTTTTTATATATGCGTATCTATTTATTGCCTTTTTCATCTTAATAATGATATACTGTTGATTCTGTGTTTTAAAATCCTCAATGGGAAATGCATCTTGTATAGTTTCAGTGGAAAATGGTCTCTCTAATAATAAAAAGAAAGTGTAGTTCCCTTGGAATTAAGGGTTGGGGAAACCTGATACGTCAGAAGAATAAAGTAAGACCGTAAGAAAGCGTGTGTTTCAGAAAACCAAAGTTGCTTGTTGATGCTTCCTGAAGATTGCATGGACATGATAAAGCCAAATGAATGCTTTCAGAAGCAAAAAGACCAGCCAGCACAGGGTGTCAAGAACTCTGTAGTGCTTGAAATATATGCAGAAATTATTTTTAATTTCTTCTCCTGACCTAGTCCCATAAAGCTGGTCAAGGGCACTACTGTTCAACAATAGTAAGTTATTGAAATCTCTAGGTCAAGATGTTTTTGATTGATAACATTCCCCAAATAGTTAAGAAAATGTCCAGAAACTGAGACTAACTCCCTTTTTGAACCCCATATTCTCAAACATCTTGTCTACTTCTCTAAAATTTGATAGGAAAAGCCTCCTGGCATAACACATTGTATATGACATTTCAGATGAAATTGGTTTTCCTGGATGTCAACCTTATCTATATGTAGCAGTAAAATACTTCATGTAATTGTATACATTTTTATGGCATAAGTTAGTGAGGGGACAATAAAATATTAAAAGGAAAGACTGTCACAAGTACAGTGAAAGGTCTTGTCTCTACATTAAATCTTCCTCTGGTCTGAGCCTCCTGCAGCATCCTGGACTTAGCAGCTGGTTCAAGAGTTTGAATGAGCTGGGCCAGAGGTTGATGTTATAGTAAACACACTTGAAGCAATTGGGGTCTACTGAATAGCAGAGCCATTAAACACCTCTGCTAATACTGATGCAGCAGTGCGGAGTCATAAGTACTAAGCAGGCCCTGCAGGAGGAGCCATGGCCACTCTGCTCGTCTCCACAGGGTTCCCCAAAACATGGGGCCCAGGGCGGTCGCCCCAATTCGCCTCCGCTCCTCCCCCGGGATGGCCCTGGCAGTTGTGCTGTTTTTTTCTGAAATTCTCCGATATAAGCAATGCTTTGTACTTTAGTTTCTAACTGTAACTTGCCCAGTTGTTAACGGCTTATGAAGAAATTAAAATTGCTACAGCTGAAAGTACTAAAATGTTAATTTGAGTGTGTCATATTTTATGAACTGTAACTTCTTCCTCTTCTTTAAGAAATTAATGTAATTATCAATGTCCAGTTTAATTTCTCATGATGTGGTTTTTCAACAGACAGAGGACACAGAAAGATGAGAGAATGGAACTCAGTAAAGGAAATGGAGTCTGATTCAGTAGCTTTGAAATTTTCATTCTCCTGGTCCACATAGAAGATGCAGAAGTGGTGTTTTGGGATTCATGTGTTCAGAGCCTAGGTGTAAAAAGACACATTCCAGAGGTAATTTGTGTAACTTGTCACTGAATCTGCTGCAATTGAAGGAAAGGACTCAAAGGAGGAACTGAAGTGTAGACTCATGTGGTAGAAGACCTATTTCCCCAATGATGTAGCTCTTTAACTGTTATATTTCAGGTTCATGAACTTTTTAATATGATATATATGGGACTTGCCTGTGTTAGTGTTTGAAAACTCTTATATATTAAAGAGTAAGGCTTGTCTTGTTAAGGCACTAGCCTGGTACTTATGAGCTGTATTCTCAGCTCTTCTTCATATTTCTTGTGTTATCTAGGGGAAGTCATTTGATTGCTCTCTGCCTTGGTTCCCTTTTGTAAAATGGGGATACATGTGGGGACAGGACTAGGAGCAATGGTTTCAAGCTGCAGCAGGGGACATTTCAGTTAGAGATTCAGAAGCACGTTGAGAGTGGTCAGGCATTGGAATGGGCTACGCAAGGAAGTTGTGGAATCTCCATCCTTGGTAACTTTCAAGAGCAGGATAGACAGACACTTGGCTGGGATGGTCTAGTCAGGAAGGATCCTGCCTTGAGCAGAGGGCTGGACTAGAAAGCCTTGTGAGCCCTCCAGCCCTACTTTCCTGTGATCCTGTGCTTCTGTTCCTCAGAAGCAAATGTTCAAATGAAAGCTGCATGGAAACCAGCTAGAGAACTGTTACACATTTTCAAGCACTAACTTTGTATTTGGCTGGCTCTTTTCACACCTGGATAGACATTTTTATGGTGTGATAAAATATGGCTGGTCTAAACGTATTGCATGATTGATCAGTGACTTTGCATCATGTATGTGACATGTGGTAGGGGCCTCAGAGGAGCATTGCAAAATGCCTTGTTTGTACCTGAATCTGCTCCCTGCCCTCCAGAATGTTTACTTTGCTCCATAATTTGGTGTTGTCCACAAATTTGGACAGAGTGCTTTTCACACACTCATCCAAGTCACTGATGAAGATATTGAACAGCACTGGTCCAAGGACGAACCCTGGGGAACTCCACCGCCCACTTTTTTCCAGGTTGAAAACAACCTGACTACCACCACCCTCGGTGTGCACCCCATAAACCAAGTCTCCACCCACCTGACCGTGCAGTAATCTACATCACAACTGCTTAATTTATTGATAAGAATGGGATGCGACTCTGTATCAAAGGCCTTTTTTAAAATCCAAGTAGATGACATTTACCTCAACTCCTGCATCTAAGCATTTTGTGACCTGGTCATGAAAGGAAACAAAGTTAGTCAGGCAAGCTCTACCTGCTATGGAGCCATGCTGGTTGCCCTTCAGCATTATTTTTCCTGCTGGACTCCCACAAATGTGATCCTTAATAACTTTTTCAAAGGTTTTCCCAAGGATAGAGGTAAAGCTAACCGGCCTGTAGTTACCCGGGTCATCCTTTCTCCCCTTCTTGACAACAGGGGCCACATTGGCCCTTTTCCAGTCTTCTGGGACTAAGCACCATAAATGCTCAAACAGCTGTGCCAGTGGCTCTGCTATGACACTGGCCAATTCCTTCAGCACCTGTGGACGAAGATCACCTGGGCCTGCTGACTTAACATATCCAGCCCCTCCAAATGCCCCTTCACTAGGTCAGCACTAACTGCTGGTGGGTTGGAATCCCTCTTGTGCCTGTCTATAGTCCCTTTGGGAGATATGTCTTGATCGGTGTTCAGGAATACAGATGCTATGTACTTGTTTTGGAGCTCAGCTTTGTCCCTTCTATCTGTTACGAGTTGCCCTAGTCTGTCCTGTAGGGGTCCTATGTTGCCATGTGCCTTCTTTTTGCTCCCTATATACCTGAAGGACTTTTTGTTGTCTTTAATTTTTGTTGCCAGCCTGAGTTCCAGTGCTCCTTTGGCCTTTCTGACTGATGACCTGCAAGTGTGAACCAGATATATTCCTCCTTGGTGGTTACCTCCTGCTTCCACAACCTGTATGCCTCTCTTTTCCCTGCTAGGCTGTCTTGGATATCCCTGTTCAGTCAAGAGGGTTTCTTGGGTCTTTTGCCTCCCCTTATGTGCAGTGGGATGGTCCCCTTTTGTGCCTGAAGGATCATGCCCTTGAGGAACGCCCACCCTTCCTGGACTCCCATCTCACCAATGCTCATGCCTTTCAGTGCCTCACTTACTAATCTCCTGAGCTCATTGAAGTTAGCCTTTCTGAAGTCTAGCACTTCAGCCCTACTAGTTATCTTTCCCACCTTTTGCCAGATAGTAAATTCTAACAATTGGTGATTGCTATCCCCTAGGTTACCCTGTATCTGCAGTTGTTCCACCTTTTCCAGAACTGCCTTTATAACAGGTTGACTCTTTTTACAGTTATTTTTATCCTGTGACACTGATGTTGCAGGCATGGCTGGTCCAAAGAGAGGATTTAATAGCAGCCTTCAACTACCCGAAGGGGGTTGAAGAGGATGGGGCTGCACTGCTCTCAGTGGCAGCAGATGACAGAACAAGGACCAATGGACTCAAGTTGCAGCAAGGGCGGTTTAGGTCGGACATTAGGAAAAACCATCTCACTCGGAGGGTGGTGAAGCACTGGAATGGGTTACCTAGAGAGGTGGTGCAATCTCAATCTTGGGAGGTTTTTAAGACCCAGCTAGACAAAGCCTTGTTCTGCATGATCTAGTTGGGGCTGGTCCTGCTCGGAGCAGGGGGCTGGTTGGACTAGGTGTGACCTCCTGAGGTCCCTTCCAACCCTCATGTTCTGTGACTCTATGACATGCATGGCCTGATTTAACTTGTGAATGGCACCATGTATCTAACATGGGGCAGGGGCCACAACACGAGCTGTATGAAAAAAATATATGATTAATAATCTTGCTTCGATCTATTTTATCCTTAGAGAGCCCTTTTCTCGAGAGGAGGGTCCCGAGGCCAGGCACGGAAGCGCAGGCAATCTGCTTTGCCGCCGCCCGGTGCAGGGCAGACGGGAGCACTCAGGCGCCTGCGCGCGGGAACCGGGGCAGCCGAGGTCGCGCTGGGAGGGGCGAGCCGCCGCGGGGGACGGGGTG